CCATATCACACCACCACCACCCAGGGGTCCCAATGCCCAGATTGAATACACTTCTTTAAAGCAATTCAGCTTGGGTCCCACCACCCCATCCAACTAAACATGTGCAACCATATTTCTTCAGTTATCTAATTTCCAAGTCCAAGGAGAGTAGACACTCAATAGGCCTTCCGTGTAGAAGCATACTTTGCTAGAAAGTTAGGAGAGAAAAAAAGCCCGTTAGGTTGGCATTTAGTAAGGGATTATTCAGCAAGGGGCTGCTATAATGTTACTAACCAAATGAGCAGTTCAAAACAGGGGTTCCAATGCACATGGGGACTTTCTTACCAATGTCCCATTACATATCTTTGTAATTCAGCTAACAGGGTTTCTCATCTCTTCTGATACACCAGGCATGGACTAACTTTTTTGCCTTGGGGTCGCATTGTGGGCCCGACCAAGAGAGCCAAGCCAGGAGGGAGAGGATCTTTGAAAGGGTGGGGCCAGAAGGGGGTGAATCATCCTCGGGTTGTCCTCCTGGCATAAGAATGGGGCTGCTTGCTCCATCTTTATGCCAGGAGGAAAACGAGACATGCGGTAACTACCCCGATCCTTCTCCTCAATCCTCCTTCCTCAATATTCTGACTGTCCTCTCGACATTATGATGACGGCTGAGAATGCTCAGGAAGACTCTTGGACACTGCATGCCTTTCTCATCATAAGGACAGCCGCTTGCACCATCCTTATGCAGGGAGGTCGAGACATACTGTGGCTGAGAGTGCTTGAGAGGGCTCTCAGCTACTGCATACCTCCCTCCCCTATCTTTTCTGCATAAGGATGCGCTGATCCACCGTGTCCTCATGCTGAGAGGACAGGGAAAATGAGAAGGGCCTGAGGTAGGTGCCCAAGGGGTCACATCCGGCCCCTGGGCCTTAGTTTGCCCATGTCTGTGATAAGCACTATATAAGTAATACCAAGGACTCTGAGCTAGATAACTTTGACCATAAGTGCTACATGCTTTTAAAGGGGAGCCAAACTTGTACACAAATACATGTACAAGCATATGTGCAGCCAGGTGCGTGTCTGACTATGCCAGTCAATAACTAGGAGGGCACCCACTTTTAGAGCTGTGTCTCCCAGGAATGAAACAAGAGCATTCATCTTCCTTCCAAGTCAGCCTTCTGACCTCGAAGTAGGGACTGCTCTTCTATCACTTGCGCCATCCTCAGTTGATAGCCATTGAACAGGAACCCTGAAGGTGAAGTCCAAAACAGCTGGAGACCAGGATGGTCCAGATTGTTCTGAGATAACTCATACATAGAAGGGTTATCTTAATTCTTTGCCACAGACAAGAAAATTGAAGTTGTGTGTGGTGGAATCACGTAGACCACCATAAACTATCATTTTAAAAACTCATTTTCAGAATAGAGGTGTGTTGCTCTTGATTGTCTTCAAGTCAACCCGAAGGTGAACTTATCATGGGGCTATCTGAGGCTAACAGTGTGAGACTTGCCTAAGGTCACCAAGTGTGTTTTCATGGCTGAGTGGGGATTTGAACCTGGTCTCCAGAATCCAATGCTCCAATCACTATGCCACATTGGCTCCCCAGAATAGATGCCCCTGTGCCATTAGTAGACAGTCTGACAACCCTGAAGTACAATTTTAAAGAATACTGGCAACAACACAAGAAAATCTGCATTTCTCTTTTATGAGTATCCCCCACAGGTAGTTATCTTATCAAAAGGGGCCAAAGCAGGCCCGTAGCCAGAATTTTGTTTCGGGGGGGGGGGGCTGAATTTTTCAGGGGAGGTTCGGGGGGTGAGTTTGGGGGGGGGCTGAGTCTGAGTGAAAGAGGGTCTACCCTAGCAAACCTTTTGTATCATTACCCCAATACCCTCATGCTTATGGGATATATTGAGTATGGTGATCAGATCATGATATGAATAAACATAACAGTTTAAATAATGCACCAGTAAGGCCTTTTCGCGAACCACCATGAGAATTTCGGGGGGGGGGGGGGACTGAAGCCCCCCACCCCCCCCCCCCCCGGCTACAAGCCTGGGCCAAACAAGGGTGTCTTCCATGGATGTGTTTTGCTACTGAATGCACCTGCCAAATGTTCACAAGGGTCTTAATATTATGGTTCTCAACCGGTGGGTCCCCAGGTGTTTTGGCCTACAACTCTCAGAAATCCCAGTCAGTTTACCAGCTGTTGAGATTCCTAGGAGTTGAAGGGCAAAATATCTGGGGATTCACAGGTTGAGAACTGCCTTACCACAATGCTGCATTGTCACAAATACAGATGTGGTATTTGCCTTTTTCTGGGAAGTGAAGGTCCTCCTGCACAAGCAAGTACAAGCCTACAAGGGGCAGCAGACGAGACAGTTGAGGGTCTCTGGAGAGTTCTCCCTCTGCCTTGCATATCTTATTGCTTCTTTGCCTTATAGACTAATGTTGCTCGCTTTCCAAAATAGCAATGAGGAAAAGTTGAAATTCATGACATGCAGGGTTGACAATCAGGATATAGCTATCAATAAGTCAGTGTTCTACCTAAATGTCAAAAGAAAAGTATTGATTTCAGTACACTTAAGCTCATGTTCCTCTGCAAAATTAACATATTATCCACATTCATAAACAACACGAAGCACATATTTTTGTCTTCATGAAGAGGCCACACCACAAAATATCGATTTTTTGTTGTTGTTGGCATGATGTCCAGTCTATATAAAAGGAAAGGCATTTCTACAATAAGGACACCTGTCAGTCCCTTAAAGGATAACCTTTCTAATACTCAAATAAGGGGTGTCATTTATATGTGGCATCCCCATTATAGGCTAATATTTTCAAGTATAGTCATTTCTTCTCAATACATCTCTTTTTGTAATCTTTATCATGCAGCGTAGCCAGTAGATGCCAGTCCTCCTCAAATGTGCCAATACTTGCAACTCTGCTTAATACCTTCACTTAACTTTGATGCTGATTTCAAGCAACCACCCAATGCAATATATTTCACAAGACAAAAGGGGGAGACCATTGCCAAGTGAGTCAAACCCTATTGTCATAGGGTCAAATTAGACTATGTATCATTTGTTTTGCTCACTCGGGCGGTGAAGGACATCTGCTTGTCATGGAACAGATTTTCCCCAACTACTAATCTTGCATTTTACATGCTTGTTTATGCTTGATCACTGGAAAATAAACATTAGCTTAATATACAAGTCTGATTGCTGTAGCTTCTCTTTCTGTGCAAATTATGTTGTGGGAGAGATACCAATAATAGGAAATGTGGGAACCAATCATAGAAAATGCTCCATTTAAACATCTAGCTTGACTCTTAAGGCAGTTTACAAAAAAGTAAAACATTACTAAAAAGTAAAATATGTTGCTACATGTTAATCCCTATGAATAAACCAAGCCCTGCGGCTTTCAACTCCACTGGAAGCAAGCCTTTTGTAATGCTGTTACCGTGTACCTTCAAGATGTTTCTGATTTATGGCAACCCTAAGGTGAACCCATCACTTCTGAGGCTTGGAGAGTAACTTGCCCAAGGATTCCCCCAGGCAGGAAGCAGACAGGCTTTGAAGCTACAAGGCCATTCAATGCTAATCAAGGTGGCCAACTGCAACATTCACACTTGCCTCAAACAGACAGGAGTTTGATGTATTGTCAAAGGCTTTCATGGCCGGAATCACTGGGTTGTTATAGGTTTTTCGGGCTATATGGCCATGTTCTAGAAGCATTTTCTCCTGACATTTCGCCTGTATCTATGGCAGGCATCCTCAGAGGTTGTGGGGTCTGTTGGAACTACAACCTCTGAGGATGCTTGCCATAGATGCAGGCTAACGTCAGGAGAGAATGCCTCTAGAACATGGCCATATAGCCCAGAAAAAACCTACAACAACCCAGACAAGAGTTCTTTCTCCCATCCTGGATATTCCACAGATATATAATCCCCTCTTGCCTAGTTTGCAACAGATCTTTCAAGCTCTGAGGATGCCTGCCATAGACGTGGGTAAAACGTCAGGAGACAATGCTTCTGGAACATGGCCATAAAGCTTGGAAAACTCACAGCAACCCTGTGATTCCAGCCATAAAAGCCTTCGACAACACGTCAACAAGTTGGTTTCCATGGCTGAGTAGGTATTCAAACTCTGGTCTCCATTGTAATCTTACATTCATACCACTACATCAATCTGGTTCTTTGTGAATCTAATAGGTCTTAATTGCTCACTGGGTGTATATATATATATGTGTGTGTGTGTGTGTGTGTATATATATATATACATACACATACATATATATATATATGATATGTATATATATATATATATATATATATATATATATATATACAACACATATACATACACACACACACACACACACACATATACATACATATATATATATATGTATGTGTATGTATATATATATATACACACACACACACACACACATATATATATATACACCCAGTGAGCAATTAAGACCTATTAGATTCACAAAGAACCAGATTGATGTAGTGGTATGAATGTAAGATTACAATGGAGACCAGAGTTTGAATACCTACTGAATCCTATATATATATTAGGATTTGCAGAAGTATCACCTTTGTCCCTCAGGACTGAAACAGGAAGCCCGCAGGGTGCCCAGGTGCTATCCTCATCTCTGCCGATACAAAAATCCCACAACTACATCTTTGCAATCTCCAGCTCAACTCCACCACTTAAGGTAGTGGTCCATGGACCTTGAGTCAGCCTCTGAGTTATCTGCCACTGGCACCTCAACAACTTCCAGAAAAGTAACAACTGTTGCTAATCTGGGATTGATCCCTGGTACACTGGAGAAATGAAATTACCAATCTGCCCACATCAAACATCACGGGAAGCACTGTACTACCATAGGCTATCTCTGGCTGTAGATGTTAGATACTGATCAGGAATTGTGCGCATGTACACCCGCATATACAAATCACCACAGGCCTACAGTGCTGCATCAGAAAATGATTTCAAAACACCTATGTGTTTAGTTCAGTCAAAGGAAGTGAAGTTGTTTAATTCTTACAACCCATCTTGCATAACGAGCCAGCAATTTTACATGTCAGAGACTAGTCCTGATGTAAACAAAAAAGAGGTCAGTTGTTTGAGTCACTATAAAATGGTAACTGGGAGGTGAGGAGAAGGTAGCCAAGGCAAGTGGCCTTGTGGGTGGCATGGGGCCCCCGCTTGGCTGGCGCTCAGGGACAGGGCTGCAAGAACTGCTGGCATCCGACCTCTTGCAAGTCCTGTCCATCTGAGAGTAGTGAATAGCCAGTCTCTGACCGGGATGGGTCCTCAACGTTCATCAAAGCCAGGCATGGGGAAGGCACGGGCAAAGGTCTCCACTCGTTGCCGGAGGTCAGACAGCTTCTGCTTGGTCTCTGGGTCAGACAGCAAGAAGGATTTGAAATCTTGGAGCTTGGCTTTAAGGGAGAGAGAGAGAGAAAAAAAAAGTGCAATTAAGTCAGTTGTAGGAGGAGTATGCAATCCATGGGGGAAAATTCTGGCCCAGAAAAAGAGATCTCCCTTCCTCAAGAGGAGCCCCCGGTGGCGCAGTGGGTTAAACCCCTGTGCCGGCAGGACTGAAGACTGACAGGTCGCAGGTGCGAATCCGGGGAGAGGTGGATGAGCTCCCTCTATCAGCTCCAGCTCCTCATGCAGGGACATGAGAAGCCTCCCACAAGGATGACAAAACATCAAATCATCCAGGCATCCCCTGAGCAACGTCCTTGCAGGCGGTCAATTCTCTCGCACCAGAAGCGACTTGCAGTTTCTCAGGTCACTCCTGACATGACCAAAAAACTCCCTCAAGAATGTCTTTCACTTAAAAATAGGCACAGATTCCCATTCACTCCCCAAACCCTGCTTTCCTTTCCATAATGAGGACTGCTGGCTTCCAAGTACCACATTCCACCCATCTCCTCTCAAATACCACATATTTCCCTCACAACTGCGTAGCAACACCATTTCATGCCCACAAACTTTTGTTGGGGGGAAATAACCCCAAATACCCTAGTTTCAGTCACCTCTGGCCATTTTAAGTCCAGGACAGACCTTTTAAAAAAAGACAAAGTCAAGTTCACTTTGTGTGTTTTCAAAAAGTACCATCCTGTGCCTAAAGTGGCCTCAGGAAGCCATTCAAGAGGTGAAATTCACCCCTACATAGATACTTATTTGGTTCAAAAAATGTAAAGCATTTTAGTGATGCTAGGGAATCCAAGATAATTTCAAAAACAGGTTTTTTTGTTCTTTGTATATTGCTCAATGCTGTATTATATAAGTTGGTTGTACGTTTAATATTGTATTATATAAGCAGCAAAAATATACCTTTGTGGTTTATGTACTACGACTTGTAGTGGATTTGTATTTGTTCCAAAAGATTCACTTCCCAGACTGTTAGGAACTCATATAATGCAATTAAAAACAGTTAGCATTATATGATTCTACACTGACCATATCATGTAGTTTCAAACTGATATATGACAGTATAGGTGTAGTGTAATCTAAGATAGCCTACTAAACTGCTAAACATCTCTGATTGTAGCTAACCATGTACAGAGCAGGTGCAATGGATTAAACTCTTGTGTTGCTGAACTGCTGACCTGAGGGCTGGCAGTTCAAATCTGCAGGATGGGATTGAGCTCCCACTGTTAACCCTAGCTCTTGCCAACCTAGAAGTTCGAAAGCATACAAATGTAGCGGGAAACAGCAAAAAAACACGCTCCAAGCAATCATGCAAGCCACATGACCAGGAGGTGTCTACAAACAATGCAGGCTCCACGGCTTGGAAATGGAGAAGAGCACCTCCCCCAGAGCTGGGAATTAACACCACCTCCAGAGCCGGAAATGAAAGGAGAAACTTTTGCCTTTGTCCGTATATTTACATTTCATTGTATTCATTGTAATAAGGCATTGAATGTTTGTCTGTGTCTGTTTATATGCTGTAATCCACTTTGAGTCCCCTCAGGCAGAAGGGCGGAATATAAATAAATTATTATTATTATTATTATTATTATTATTATTATTATTATTATTAACAAAATCCCCACAATAACTTGCACCAATGGTAACGGAACGTGGCTTTTATGTACCTGGCATCCCAGTAAGATTTAGCAAACATCAGTAATAACTTACAGGTTTTCTTTTTGACATCCAGTCCAATCTGGATTCCTTCATCCATGAACTCTACAACTTTCTGGAAATCCGCTTCCCGGAACTGTCGGGATGTAAGTGCAGGCGCTCCTGTGGGACAAAGGTAAGCAAATGGGATTAAGAGCACTTGCAATTCAAAAACCACTGTTATGAAAGATCTGAGAGAAAAATGCTGCTGCTCACAAGGAAAAACGCAACATATACTACAGTCCCAAGATGACCCTAGGATTTCCTTCCCCTCCAGAAGGACTACCTACACAAAGGCCAGCAATACGAACAATATTGTGCTGGACTAATTGGCACTATAGCTCCTGTTCCAGTTCTGATTCAAACATATGTACAACAACAGATTCTTCAAATGACTGTGCTGAAAGGATGCCATGCCAACCCTTTATGTATTCACAGGAGATGCCAGAAGGGGAGAGACAGCAGATGGATTAAATTGTCCAGTGCTACAATGGCTATTGTTAAAATTGCCCAGGATACACCCTTGATCTCTCTCTCTCTCTCGTTTGAAGAGACCAAGAAAGCAGCCTGCTCTGGTGATATGTACCACCCGTGCTACTCTGCCAGTAGCATCCCATCCCAGTCCAGCCCTTTTACTCTCACTGGCACACTACTCAGGGACACAAGGACTTCCTCCATGGAGCTTCTTTCCCTAATCCCAACTCAACAATCCTGGGCAAAAATATCACGCTCCCACAAAACTAAGGGTCATAAAAACTGTTTTTCTGTCATTATGTTTGGTTTACTGCTTTTTTATTTTTTTGTATTTTGTTTATTGTAGTCATATGTTCTGTATTTTTCTGTGATGTTGTTTATTTTATTGTAACTTGTATCTTATTTTATTGTACAGTATATTCTGGCGTATAAGACTACTTTTTAACCCAAGAAAATCTTCTCAAAAGTCAGGGGTCGTCTTATACGCGGGTGTAGTCTTATGCATGGGAGTCGTCTTAACTCTATATTTTAACTGGAAAAGTTGGGGGTCGTCTTATACGCCCAGTCGTCTTATATGCCGGAATATACGGTAATTTGTTGTATGGGCTTGGCCTCGTGTAAGCCGCCCCGAGTCCCCGTAGGGGAGATGGTGACAGGGTATAAATAAAGTTTATTATTATATTATTATTTTTCAAATGTTGATTTTTATATGAATTTGGCATTCTAAATCCAAATATGATCTCAGATTTGCTACATCACATATCTTTTTTTCTCACTCAACTTGATATTTCTATTATGTGACTAAAAGAAAGTAGTATCGAAACTAGTAATGAAATTAGTAACAGTACTATATGTGGTTTTTATTGGGATTTTTTAATTCAACACCCACAACTATATTAAAAACAGATACAATATTTTTTTAAAAAAAGGTTTTTCACTGCAGCTCTATGATTGATTTTAATTAAAAAGCAGAGTTTGAGTGTTCTTGGTGAAGAATCTGGACTACTTTAGCATAGTTACATACAATAAAAGGGTAGGTAAAGGTTTCCCATGAGATGAGCACCAGAGTTGGACACGACTAGACTTAATGAAGTCTAGTCATGTCCGACTCTGGGGAGTGGTGCTTATCTCCATTTCTAAGCCAAAGAGCTGGTGTTGTTCGTAGACACCTTCAAGGTCATGTGGCCAGCAGGACTGCATGGAGCACCGTTACCTTCTCGCCAGAGAAGTACCTATTGATCTATTCACATTTACATGTTTCTGAACTGCTAGCTTGGCAGAAGCTGGGCGTAAGAGTAGGAGCTCACCTCGTTCTCTGGATTAGAACCACCAACCTCAGGTCAACAAGTTCAGCAGCTCAGAAGTTTAACCCACTGCACCGCATAATAACCAACACGGAAATTTAGCACATACTTCATTAAAAAAAATATTCTTCTGAAGTTAAGCTCTTGCTCTTACCAAGGCGCAAGCCACCAGGTGTCAAAGCACTCTTGTCTCCGGGACAGGTGTTCTTGTTAGCTGTGATGGACACCAGCTCCAGCACACGCTCGGCCCGGGCCCCATCAATGCCTTTTGGCCGCAGGTCCACAAGCACCAGGTGGTTATCAGTACCTCCTGGCCAGAAAGAGAGAAGAGGCCATGTCACTTCCTATAGCCTTCCCAGTTCCAGGCCTAATCTATACCCAACTATCCAACTACAGCTCCATTCCCAACATTTATAAGAACAGAGACATTAACGGTGCATTTAGTGAATGAAACCTTTGGAACCCACTTAGAAATTCTCTCTAGTCCAACACCCCCTTTCTGAGTACCTGGACTTGCAGCGGACTTATATGGATAGCCTCATCCTCCATGAATATGTCAAAGCTCACTTGTCCTAGCAAACATCCCATCACCCCTAAAGTCTTGAGATAACTCCACAAGTTAAGCACAAGTTGCACAAGGACTCAACAGGGACAAATGCAAGATACTCCACTTGGGCAGAAAAAATGAAATGCAACGATACAGGATGGGGGACGCCTGGCTTGAGAGCAGTGTGAAAAAGATCTTGGAGTCCTCATGGACAACAAGTTAAACATGAGGCAACAATGTGATGTAGCAGCTAAAAAAGCCAATGGGATTTTGGCCTGCACAAACAGGAGTCTATTGTCTAGATCCAGGGAAGTCATGCTACCCCTCTATTCTGCCTTGCTCAGACCACACCTGGAATCAGACTATGTTCAATTCTGGGCACCACAATTGAAGGGAGATGTTGACAAGCTGGAATGTGTCCAGAGGAGGGTGACTAGATCAAGGGTCTGAAGAACAAGCTCTATGAAAAGCAACCTAGAGAGCTGGGCATGTTTAGCCTGCAAATAGGCTGATAGGAGACATGATAAGGGACATGTATAAAGATGTGAGGGGAAGTCATAGGGAGGAGGGAGCAGGCTTGTTTTCTGCTGCCCTGGAGATTAGGACATGGAGCAATGGCTTCAAACTACAACAAAGGTGATTCCACATGAACCTTAGGAAGAACTTCCTAACTGTGAGAGCCGTTCAGCAGTGAAACTCTCTGCCCTGAGTGTGGTGGAGGCTCTTTCTTTGGAGGCCTTTAAACAGAGGCTGGATTGCCACCTGTCAGGGGGTGCTCTGAATGCAATTGTCCTGCTTCTTGGCAGGAGGTTGGACTGGGTGGCCCACAAGGTCTCTTCCAATTCAAGGATTCTATGACTCCATTTTGATATTAGATATATTGTAAAAGCCATGTGGTCTTAAAACCAAGCCATGATGACTTGAACAATGGGCCAGACGCATTGGCTCACACTGGGAAAGGTAACCTTTGGCCTGATGTTTTGGATGCCAACTCCCAGAAACCCCAATCCACAGCCCCAAAAGTGAAGGTATGTGAAAGTTTTATTCTCTAGACCAGTGGTTCCCAACCTGTGGTCCGTGGACCACCAGTGGCCCACAAGAACTAAAATATGGTCCACAGTCTCACTGTTACTACACCATTGCAATGAGAACAACCGGTCTGGCAAAACCCTCTTATAGGGCTACAACTTATTAAATATGGTTGTCTGTGGGCAAGCAGATGGCAGCTACTGGATGGCATATGTACTGCATCAGAAACTAGAACTGATGTGGTCTATCCAATCCAATTTTCTGAATCAGCATCCCAAATAACCAAACTGAATATAAAGTTGACCAAAAACATTCATAATTCTTTTGGTACTAATGTTGAAGAGTGGTCCCTGGTCAAATTGGTCCCAAGTCAAAAAAAAGATTGGGAACCACTGCTGTAGACCCGGGTTTCCCCGTGGAGCTGCAAATCCCGATTTTCCTTCACTAATTATACAGTTGGGTCACAATTATTGTTGGGATGGCAGGGGATGAGAGGTTTATTTCTTAGGAAAAAGTTGTGATTTGTGCCAATGGGAAATTCTCTGTATGGCCTTCAGCAGGGTGGACTGCAGGGTTTATATTCCAACCATAGGAAGTATATAAAAGACTGGTGTCTTCCTTACATCTTCTTTCTTTCCAGTAATCCAGTTTCCCCCTTGTAAATTGTTTAAAGATAAGCATAATCAAACACTTAGTTTTATACTTATGTTATCTTGATTGAGACCACATCTGGTCTTTGCATCAGGGCTGATTTGAAACAACGTTCCATCTACTGATTGTAATGCGTTTTGAATTATTTCATAGTCATTTTCTCTCTTCCCCCCTCCCCGGCAGCAATAGCATATTTCTGCTTGCAGCAGCTTTTAACTCTATCCACAACATGGACCTTCATACTGCCTCAAAAAGGAGGTTATGACACACAGAGGTAAAATATACCATCAGAAAAGTCAAATTCTGCAGTTTAGGCTGTGCTGCGTCAATTCAGACTGTAGATGGGAGAAACACGTGGTTGCCTATATTAGAAGTTCCTTGAATGTGTGTATTAAAAACACAATGTCATGGAGAAGGCTAGCTTAGAATTCTTCTCACTAATTTCCATACACGTTGAAGTTTTTAATATAGAATTAAAACACAATGCATTTTGAAATGGTACAACTATTTTTTCATGTCAGGAGCGACTTGAAAAACTGCAAGTCGCTTCTGGTGTGAGAAAATTGGCCRTCTGCAAGGACATTATTTACTTTACTTATTTATTTACTTTATTTATATACYGCTGTTCTCAGCCCTTAGGCGACTCACAGCGGTTAACAACAAGAACAGCAGAAATTCAATGCTACAACAACACGGTATATAAAAACAATTAWCRTCATMAMCACATTAACAGTTAACAACAATAAYCATCCACTGRCRTCTCATAACTAAAAMCATGATCCAGATTCDTCATCCATTGTTCCATTCYTATGTTCATTACAMTCRTTGYACTGTYTATTCAAACGCCTGTTCRRATAACCAGGTTTTCAATTYTTTTTCYRGAATACCATTAATGATGGAGCCGATMTAATGTYYGTRGGAAGGGCGTTCCACAGCCGAGGGKCCMCCACCGAGAAGGCCCTATCTCTCGTCCCCGCCAGCCGTGCTTGTGAAGCAGGCGGGATCGAGAGCAGGGCCTCCYCGGATGATCTCAAAGCCCTAGTRGGTTGCCCAATGTTTTATCATCCTGTGGGGGGCTTCTCTCATGTCCCAGGATGAGAAGCTGGAGCTGACAGGTGGGAGCTCACCCCACTCCCTGGATTCGAACCATCGACCTTTCGGTCAGCAGTCCTGCCAGCACAAGGGTTTAATCCATTGCGCCACTGGGGGCTCCAATCGTACAACTCAGTTGGCGCTTTTGATTATGTGTCTCAGTTCAACAGCCACACAGCATGTAAACTATACCGGAAACAAGAGTGTATCCTCGCTGCAGCAACGCTTCTGCCATGGCTTTGGCATTCTTCAGTACCTGTTGGCAATACTCCCGGAACATGGGGGAGCTGGCCTACAAAGGAAGAAGGGGTTTGAAGTCAGCAAACAGAGCACTGCTCCTTTAAGACAGGTAACTGAGGATATTCCATGATCCGTAAGGAGTAGTGTGATGGAACATTCTCTTCCTATTACATACAACCAACAAATTATTACACAGCGGGGTCTTTTAGAAGAAATACCCGTTTAGGATAAAATACAAGCACAAAGGCTCAAGGAAGGGGGTTAAGACAGGCTTCTAGAGAGAGCAGCATTCAGTTTGAGAGCTCTTTGGAATCCAAAGACATACGAACCTTAGCTTTGCCTCATTTCATGTTAGTAGTGGGGAAAACAGCCATACATGCAAATGATTAATACACACACACACAGAAAAAGCATGCATTCAAACGAAATTCCCAAAGAAAAGATGACCTCCGCCTCCCTCCATCCCACCTGTTTTAGTGCCACAGCAACAGCAGCAATGGCATGGTTATGTGGGCCCCCCTGCAGAGAAGGGAAGACAGCGAAGTTGATTTTTTCTTCCAGATTGTAGGGAATCTCTTTGTTGGTCTTTTTGTCCACAGAACGGGTGCCTTTGCGGTAGAAGATCAGCCCAGACCTGCAGATGACAAGGAGGTAGAAGCATCAATATCCTGTCCCTGCCTTTGTTGATGTGCCTTTTGGCAGGGCAGGGCGACTCAGAGGTGGGGTTCAAAAGGCTCCCTTAAACAGACTCTCGCTTTGATTTTGGCTCACCAAGACACTTTCATCTATTACAAAGCCCCATGTGAATGTTGCACTTCCACAGGAACAAAGGAAAACATGTTTAATGCTTTTTAAAAAAATGTTTGCATCACCTATTTCTTCTAACTATCGTAACTTATAAGGACCCAACTACTCTGAGTCCTACATTGGGAGAAAGACAGAATGTACAGCAAATAAACAAACAAGTCCCATGTGGCAATAGGTATCCAATGCAGCTTCTTGAAGATCCACCTTTATGACTAGGGATCTAACTGTATTTCATAACTGTGAACACTTATTTTATTATTAAGTCTATCAAATACAAAGTATAACAAGGTGTACTCCATTTGTTTCATTTACACAAGCAAGAACGGAGAGTTTCAATGAAATGCTCCCTGCTAAAGAAGACTATGAGACATTTCCGTGCACTGTTTTTGCACTTAAGTATGTACTTAGTATAAACCAAGTTTTTCAGCCCTTTTTTAGGCTGAAAAAGCTCCCCTCAACTTATACTCAAATCAAAGTTATTTATCATTTTACTCTGTTATTATTATTATTATTTCATTTATTATTTTACTCTATTATTATATGTATTATTTTACTCTTTTTATTATTTTTATTATTACATGTATTATTTTACTCTATTTATTATTGTTACATTTATTATTTTACTCTATTGTTATTATTACATTTATTATTTTATTCTATTATTACTGTTAAATGTATTATTTTACTATATTATTTTTATTATAGTGACTGCATTTCTGTATACGAACCCACAYGATCTCTTCGATCATCTGGAGAGGCCCTGCTCGCGATCCCACCTGCATYGCAAGCAGGGGACGAGGGACAGGGCCTTCTCGGTGGTGGCCCCTCGACTCTGGAACTCTCTCTCTCTAAGGACATCAGGCATGCCCCATCGCTAGCAGTCTTTAGRAGGAGCTTGAAAATGTAGATGTTCCAGTGTGACTTCCCAGAATAAGGAAATTCAAGCAATGTGTCCCAAATGCACTTTACGAGAGATTTAGGATTGTCTGCTCACCCACCTATCCCTAAAATATCTATCCTATTTCACTTGGACATGCCTAGCATTTTTAAAATTTTAACCATTACATTTGGCCCTGCCTAGGTTTTTAATGCGTCGTGATATTATTGTTATTGTTTTTGCTTTGTTTATGAGTTTATTTATTGTTGTATTGTTGTCGTTGTTGTTTTATTGATGTATTTGGGCTCGGCCTCTTGTAAGCCGCACCGAGTCCTGCGGGAGATGGTAGCGGGGTATAAATAAAGGTTTATTATTGTTATTATTATTATTATTATTACATTTATTATTGTACTCTATTGTTATTATTATTACAACATTTATTATTTTACTCTCTTTACTGTTATTGGAAGGATACATAAGCACATTTACATTGGAGAAGGTTAGAATAATGGTTTAATCAGAGTTGGACAGTCTTATCGTAAATTACAGTTTTAGCTACATATTCAAAAACATTTAACCTACTGATGCCTCAGTTAATGTAATTTTATCGGTATCTATTTTTATTTTGAAATTTTCCTGCAGCTGCTGCATCTCCCACCCTCAGCTTATACTCGGTTCAATATGTTTTCCCAGTTATTTGTGGTAAAATTAGGTGTCTTGGCTTATATTTGGATCGGCCTATACTCGAATATATAGGTTACATGGTGAGGAGGATGTTTTTTAATTTTTTATTTTTACAAAAATGAAAGTTCTAAAATGCAAAAATAAAAAATCTCAAAGAGATTGATAACTTTCTCCGTAAGTACCTTGATGCACAAAAACTAGCTTCGTCATCCAGAAGAAAATTTGCAATATTCCATGTATCCACATTTACAACTACAATGATATTCTCAAAAGCATATTGACAAGCGATGAAGACTATGTGACCTTCCAGAATGCTACAGTGCTACAACGGTGACTGCAGTTAAGACTGTCTGCAAGATCACTCCAGATTTGGGCAAAGCCTGCTGAAATCTCAAAAGCCAGGGAGAAGGCTGAACAGGGTTTCCCATAGCCACAGGCAGGGATTCAGCATCCTTGAACGTCCCATAATTACAAGGAATTATGCAGGATGAAAAGATGATACCCATTGGCTCAATTTGCATCTGTCTTTTCTCAATGCATGCTTCATCTTTTGAGTCTATGCAATCCTGACTGCCAGCAAACTGGCACTAAACTGTTCTTTTTAAATTGCAGTACCTTTGTCCTCTTGCTCCAGGTGAGTACTTTGCCCTTTCTTTATCCTTGGCAAGGGCTTTACATGGGGCCCAGGCCAACCCTAAAGGCTGGGCTGAAGGTGGGGCGACTTGACACTAGCATGAGGAAGTCTGGATTAGACGTTTTTGCTAGCGGGGGAGGAAGATAGCTAACATTTAGTTGGAGTTTCATTCTTTTAAATGATAATTATAATAATTACAATTACAATTATTATTATTATTATTGATACAAAAGCACAGTATGTCACAGCAAATGAGATCTGTATGCTGGATTTCGTATCACAAAATCACAAGACTGTGTGATGTATTTTCGAATGATGCGCGCAGATCCAAGTAAGGTGGCCTTTTGCAGTTGACAGATCGTAATTTTGTATTATTATTATTATTATAAATGTACATTTCCCTGTCACTGTTAGTATATTATCTGAAAATGGTCCTGTATTGGAAATGTAACCTGCTTTGATATGAAATCAATACAAAGTGACTTGAAGGCTCATACACACAGAGTGATGTCTACACACACTTACAATAACTGTAAGGGATCTCAGAGCGAAATCTCTTTTAGCCCTACTTGGAAGTGTAAAAGGTAAAGGTAAAGAGGAGAGCGACTAAAATGATCAAGGGTCTGGAGAACAAGCCCTATGAGGAGCGGCTTAAGGAGCTGGGCATGTTTAGCCTGAAGAAGAGAAGGCTGAGAGGAGATATGATAGCCATGTATAAATATGCGAGAGGAAGCCACAGGGAGGAGGGAGCAAGCTTGTTTTCTGCTTCCCTGGAGACTAGGACGCGGAACAATGGCTTCAAACTACAAGAGAGGAGATTCCATCTGAACATGAGGAAGAACTTCCTGACTGTGAGAGCCGTTCAGCAGTGGAACTCTCTGCCCCGGAGTGTGGTGGAGGCTCCTTCTTTGGAAGCTTTCAAACAGAGGCTGGATGGCCATCTGTCAGGGGTGATTTGAATGCAATATTCCTGCTTCTTGGCAGGGGGTTGGACTGGATGGCCCATGAGGTCGCTTCCAACTCTTTGATTCTATGATTCATGTCTGACCCTGAGGGGTAGTACTCATCTCCCTTTCTAAGCCAAAGAGCCAGTGTTGTCCATAAACACCTCAAAGGTCATGTGCCCAGCATGGCTGCATGGATCACCTTTACGTTCCCACCAAGGAGGTATATATTGAGCTACTCACATTTGCATGTTCTCGAATTGCTAGCTTGGCAGAAGCTGGGGCTAACAATGGAAGCTCACCCAATCCCCAGATTTGAACCGCCAACCTTTTGGTCAGCAAGTTCAGCAGCTCAGCAGTTTAATCTGCTGTGCCACCAGGGAAGTGTAAACCCCATTACACTTGGAACTAAGTTGCCATCCTTCTTGGTTAATGTATAACAGGGCTGGGGATAGTGAAATCTATCCTTCTGGTGCAACTGGACCCAAAGAGATTCCATCTGAACATGAGGAAGAACTTCCTGACTGTGAGAGCCGTTCAGCAGTGGAACTCTCTGCCTCGGAGTGTGGCAGAGGCTCCTTCTTTGGAAGCTTTTAAACAGAGGCTGGATGGCCATCTGTAAAGGGTGATTTGATTGCAATATACCTGCTGCTTGGCAGGGGGTTGGACTGGATGGCCCATGAGGTCTCTTCCAACTCTTTGATTCTATGATTTGGTTCTATGATTCTATGATTCAAGCGCCTGTCATTCATTTCATGTTGCTCAAAACTGATGAGAGTTGGAGTCCCTGAAGGAACGGAAGCTCCCTGCTTTGGGAATGGAGAAGTGACACATACCTTGCTCCTCGTAGCGTTTTGTGAGTTGTGCTGGTAACCAGGTCAGCATAGTCAAAGGGAGATGGAATAACTTTGGCTGCCACCAGGCCACTGATGTGAGCCATGTCAGCCAGCATGTAGGCCTTTACTTCTTCACACACCTGATAGAAAAAGGCAGATCAGTCCCTAGCTCAGAAGTAACTCATTAGGAATAACGAAGTACTTATAATTAACTTCTTTTTCCCAGTTACGTTGGCTGTAAAAATAATGGACAACTTATGTACATATTCCATAGTGTACCTATCTCAGTGTCATTTGTTTGTTACTTTTTTGTAATTACACGCTGTGTGTGGCCTTACTATTTAGGTATATGAAGCAACATACAGTCTGTAGCTATAGAAGTAATTCAAAAAGTTAGTTACACTGCAAAAGCAGTGAGGTTGACTCTCCCATGATTTTAGAATAACAAAGCACCTAATTACACTATCCGAAGTCCAGCTTCTTCTGGCATTTAATAATGTAGCTAAAGAATATCCACTTATAGATATCACCCACTGGATGGATCTGCTTAGTTTACCCATTGCCTCCCCTCCTGCTACTCCCAAAGTGTACCTTCTTGATGCGGGCGTAGTCAATGAGGCGAGCATAGGCGCTGGTGCCCGCAATTATGATGCGTGGGCGGAAGAGTCGGGCAGTGATTTCTAGCTGATCATAATCTATTAGCCCTGTCTTCGGCTGGAGGAAAGAATGAGGCGGAGAAGAGCAATAGGTCAGTGCATGAGAATTAAGCCACTAACATCCTCCTTCCACAGGCAAACCTGCATAAACACTTAAGACGTATTTCTTAGAGAAGCAGTCAGTAACTGACAACCATCACTCCAAAACTAGACCACATATGAACTTTGGCATCTTGGTGTTTTCAAAACAGTTTTGGGTGGGTTGCACACATCCTACACACTGCGGTTTGCCCATCCCTAGTCTATCGAGACCATGTGCACCAACTTCTGAAAACAATTTGGCAATTTCCCATTGAGAAACTCATTACTCTATCCATAATCTTCTTGTGCCAAAGATAATCAGCAAGCAAAGTGCACCTGAGAAGCAAGAGGTCAAAGATACTGCAAGGGTGGTGTGGGACCAAGCTGCAAGGAATAAATACATATATAATGGCAACAACATTCAAATTTAGAGATTTCAATAAATATGTCAATTGTGCACATCTGCCAGATTATTCCTTGTATTTTTTCATAATATATACTGCAGTATTTACCTCTGTGTATAATTTGTTTATAAGCTCAGCTTCTGCCAACCTAGCAGATCAAAAACATGCAAATGTGAGTAGATTAATAGGTACCGCTTCTGCGGGAAGGTAACGACGCTCCAGGCAGTCATGCTGGCCACATGACTTTGGAGGTGTCTACAGACAACGCAGGCTCATCGGATTAGAAACGGAGATGAGCACCATCACCCAGAGTTAGACACAACTAGACTAGAAACCTTTACCTTTAGTTATAATTTACTAGCTGCCCCCTGCCACGCGTTGCTATGGCCCATTCTGATGGTCATGGGAGTTATGTGTGGGAGATTTGGCCCAATTCTATCATTGGTGGGGTTCAGAATGCTCTGTGACTGTAGGTGAACTACAACTCCCAGCAACTACAACTCCCAAATGTCAAGATTCTATTTTTCCCAAACTCCACCAATGTTCACATTTGGGCATATTGAGTATTCGTGTAGAGTTTGGTCCAGATCCATCATTGTTTGAATCCAAAGTGCTCTCTGGATGGAGGTGAACAACAACTCCCAAACTCAAGGTCAATGCCCACCAAACCCTTCCAGTATTTTCTGT